CTCCCTTGTAGACACTGGGGGTGTGAAGGTACTCATACTGTTCCTTGTCTTCTGCTGCTTTGGATAAGACTGCTTGTCCAGGTCTTCTTGCTGTGCTAGTCTTCCATGTTGAGCAGGGATACTCCTGGATAGGACTTGTAAGGTAGTGAAGTTCCCTCTCTCCAGCTTCCACTCCTTCCTCTCCTTCTGCCTGGAGACAGAACCCCCCTTCCCCGGAGTCCCCTCCTCCGCACTCCATCTTCCACCTGATAACCAGACTCTTGTGCTGGCCAGGTTCATTATCATCTATATGCCCAGTTCAGCAGACTGCCTGGGATTGGCCAGACTTCCATACATATTCAGATCCTTGCCTTTGCCCCTCCAGCCACTAGCTTCTAGAAATTTCCATGAACTTCCAGAACCAGGGGGAGGCAATAGAGGCCTGACTTGCAGAGCCCCCCCAGCCTGACCTGAGCTTGACCCCCACACACACACACACACCACAGATATGCTCACTTCAGTTACTCTGTGAGTCAAGCTAAATTAATCTACCTAGCACACTAGAGGGCGCTACATATAATATAAAAGGGTGAAACCCCTGACAGTTTGTTTTTGCTATCTGTGTGCCATTAAGGAGTATTCCTTTCATGTCCTGCCCTGGAGATGAAACAGGAAGTGAGAAGAAATCTCTACAAAATGAGGGCAACACTCCTCTTAGACAGTTGTCAATGGAACAGATTTTCCCTCACCTCTTCAATGGTGGTAACTGTAAAGTGTTGGATTTCCCATTACTTCCTGCTCTAATGACAATGGTCACCAGGACAAAGAAAAGGTGACTTTTTCCAGCAGGGACAAAGACAGCAATTAAAACTTGAAATGGATTCAATCTCTTTTTAAAGTTGTAGTTGTACATATACTTTAACCAAAGAAGTTGAGCAGGAAGCGTTTAATGAAATTCAAAGTGATACCAAATACACAATGCTTAGTTTACATTGTCGCTTCTCTTTCTGTATGTGGATGATGGCACTGTAGTTACAGCCAGGTCCATAAATATTGGGACATCGACACAATTCTAACATTTTTGGCTCTATACACCACCACAATGGATTTGAAATGAAACTAACAAGATGTGCTTTAACTGCAGACTGCCAGCTTTAATTTTAGGGTATTTACATCCACATCAGGTGAACGGTGTAGGAATTACAACAGTTTGCATATGTGCCTTCCACTTGTTAAGGGACCAAAAGTAATGGGACAATTGGCTTCTCAGCTGTTCCATGGCCAGGTGTGTGTTATTCCCTCATTATCCCAATTACAATGAGCAGATAAAAGGTCCAGAGTTCATTTCAAGTGTGCTATTTGCATTTGGAATCTGTTGCTGTCAACTCTCAAGATGAGATCCAAAGAGCTGTCACTATCAGTGAAGCAAGCCATCATTAGGCTGAAAAAAACAAACCCATCAGAGAGATAGCAAAAACATTAGGCATGGCCAAAACAACTGTTTGGAACATTCTTAAAAAGAAGGAACGCACCGGTGAGCTCAGCAACACCAAAAGACCTGGAAAACCACGGAAAACAACTGTGGTGGATGACCGAAGAATTCTTTACCTGTTGAAGAAAACACCCTTCACAACTGTTGGCCAGATCAAGAACACTCTCCAGGAGGCAGGTGTATGTGTGTCACAGTCAAAAATCAAGAGAAGACTTCACCAGAGTGAATACAGAGGGTTCACCACAAGATGTAAACCATTGGTGAGCCTCAAAAACAGGAAAGCCAGATTAGAGTTTGCCAAACGACATCTAAAAAAGCCTTCACAGTTCTGGAACAACATCCTATGGACAGATGAGACCAAGATCAACTTGTACCAGAGTGATGGGAAGAGAAGAGTATGGAGAAGGAAAGGAACTGCTCATGATCCTAAGCATACCACCTCATCAGTGAAGCATGGTGGTTGGTAGTGTCATGGCGTGGGCATGTATGGCTGCCAATGGAACTGGTTCTCTTGTATTTATTGATGATGTGACTGCTGACAAAAGCAGCAGGATGAATTCTGAAGTGTTTCGGGAAATATTATCTGCTCATATTCAGCCAAATGCTTCAGAACTCATTGGACGCCGCTTCACAGTGCAGATAGACAATGACCCAAAGCATACTGCAAAAGCATCCAAAGAGTTTTTTAAGGGAAAGAAGTGGAATGTTATGCAATGGCCAAGTCAATCACCTGACCTGAATCCGATTGAGCATGCATTTCACTTGCTGAAGACAAAACTGAAGGGAAAATGCTCCAAGAACAAGCAGAAACTGAAAACAGTTGCAGTAAAGGCCTGACAGAGCATCACCAGGGATGAAACCCAGCGTCTGGCGATGTCTATGCGTTCCAGACTTCAGGCTGTAATTGACTGCAAAGGATTTGCAACCAAGTATTAAATAGTGAAAGTTTGATTTATGATTATTATTCTGTCCCATTACTTTTGGTCCCTTAACAAGTGGGAGGCACATATGCAAACTGTTGTAATTCCTACACCGTTTACCTGATTTGGATGTAAATACCCTCAAATTAAAGCTGACAGTCTGCAGTTAAAGCACATCTTGTTTGTTTCATTTCAAATCCATTGTGGTGGTGTATAGAGCTAAAAATGTTAGAATTGTGTCGATGTCCCAATATTTATGGACCTGACTGTATTTTAATTAAAACATTTTAGTCCTCTCCTGCTGGTCACATGTTCAAATGTAATAAAAATACAGCCTTTGGAATACAGAGTAAAAATAAATAATAATATCAACAAACTGTTTTAAATTGTCTTACAAATGTTTTTCTGAAATCAATTTTTTGTTATTTTTTGGCTATAACATGGTGTGGGCGAATTTCTGCCAGTGACAAACTGTGTCACACCCCTCCAGCCTGTGTCTTAGAATAGCAGGGAAATAAAGGCTTCATCGATCCAGATGTAATATCCCACCCCTATTGTGTTTATCTGGTAAGTGGGCATGGAGGAGGAAGGGGGGTGGGCTGTCATTTACCACTATGTATACTCCCACTTGTGACCACAAGTGACTCTATGGTCACATGGGCTGCTCAGATGTGATAGGAAGGAAACTGACTGAGTATGAACATCATCCAATACAATATTTACTTTATAGTTATAAACTATACTTTATAGTTATAGTTTTTAATGATGTGGGTTTAATGATGTTACTATTTCAGTTCCACTTTTAAATATGGTTTGGATGGTAGTTCCCTGGCCTACAAGATCATAGGAGAGGAAAAGATGAGGCTAATGTAACAGTCAACAGAATTTGTAGTTACATCTCTAGAGATATGTTGAAGTTATAAGCTTCTTATACAGTACATACTTTCATGCCAGTCATTAGGTATAATAAAGTCCATCTCTGGGGAAAGTAAAAATGCTCCCTTTCCCTTGCAGTGGGGCTGCCCCCACATTGCAAGGGTTAACTGCTCATTTAGGCCTAGAGTAGTGGTCTCCAAACTGCAGTCTGTGGGCCGGATGCAGCCCTCTGCTTGCCCTTTTCTGGCCCTTGCGACACTGTTCTCACTGATATGGGGAGCTATTCCTCTTACTGACACCAACCACGAGTCACCATTCCTTCCACTAACACGAAGAGTGGGGTATTATTCCTTCCACTGACACCAATGATGGGGTATAAATCCTACCATCGATATAAACAGTTAAGCACTATTTCCCCCACTGACACTAATGATAGGGCACTATTCCTCCTTCTGACACAAATGATGAGGCACCATTCTCTCACTGATACCACTGATGGGGCACTATTCCTCCTCTTACTGACCACAGGCAGTGGTCAATTTATTCACTCCTACTGACCACCAAGCCCAAGAAATTGTATACTCCCGCTGATGCTGGGGCATATTTTACTCTCAGTTGCCACATTCCAACCCCCTAATGTCTAAAGGACAGTAAACTGGTTGTTGTTTGTTCAGAAGGCTTAGAGACCACTGGTCTAGAGGGCAACAGAAAACAGTTTTACTTACCCGATCCATGCTCCCCTGGCAGTTTGCGCTCTCCTCTGCTCCCATATGCTCTGTAATAAATTGTTCTTAGGCATCCTGATGTCCATAGCAGGGTTAAGAGCCTAAATTGGACTTGATGACATCAGACAACATAGGAGAGAAGATGCTGCGGGGACCAACCCTACAGCCTTTAGGGAGCCTGTAGTAGCAGGGATTCGGTAGGTAACATTGCTTTTTCCCTCCTACTAGACCTAAACAAACATTTAACCATTGTAATGTAGGGGCAGCCCCACTGCAAGGAAGAATTTTTATGTTTCCTGCATTTTGCCAGGAGTTTATGTTTCCAAACTGAACACTAATAATTTGCAAGAATAACATACTGGGTTAAAATGATCTTCAGCGATATGTACTTTTATTTACATTTGTCAACTTCTTCAGCAAGTAGATACCTGGTGCATTGATTTACACATCACTGAGAAATAGGACCCGCTGAGGCCAGACTTTCTTATTATTAGTCAGAGGGAACACCGTGTAATAGGATTTAATGCAGTAGAGTCTGCACACTCAGTATATCAATGTCCTGAAGGCACAAGGGTCACTAAACCATGTAAGGATGCTTCATAAATCACAATTCCACCACAACTGGATTACCATGGACCAGGAAGATACTCCACTGAGAAAAGACATAAAATATATAAAGATATTTCTTAATATACTCAACAGTCTGATGGCCAAAAGGTTACATTACAAGGTAATACACATACTGGGAGGTTATTTACTAAAACTGAAGAAAGAAAAATCTGGTGCAACTCTGGAAAGAAACTAATCAGCTTCCAGATTTTATTGCAAAAGCTTAATTGAACAAGCTGAATTGGCTGCCATGCGCTGCTGCACCAGATTCTTAGTGCTCCAGTTTTAGTAAATCTTGCCCATTGTATATTTGTAAGCACTATATTGCGAAAAGCATTGGGACAACCCCTCTAAATCATTGGATTCAGGTGTTCCAATCAACTCCATGGCTACAGGTGCAAAAAATCATGCACCTAGGCATGCAGACTGCTTCTACAAACATTTTTGAAAGAAAGGGTCACTCTCAGGAGCTCAGTGAATTTGAATGTAGTACCGTGATAGGTTGCCACCTGTACAATAAGTCCATCTGTGAAATTTCCTTGCTACTAAATATTCCACGGTCAACTGTTAGTGGTATCATAACAAAGTGGAAGCAACTGGGAACAACAGCAACTCAGCCACGAAGTGGTAGGCCATGTAAAATGACAAAGCAGGGTCAGCGCATGTGTGAGATGGGGAAACAGCTCTCCTGGTTTGAACACTGATTGTGTGGAAGTAAATTAATGTTTTGACTGACATTCTGCGGTTTAGCCACAAGATGTCACTGTTTTTCTAACACAGCCTCAGACTGCATAGATATTTGTATATTCATGAAGAGGTGGAGTTTTCACACAGAGTTGGAGTGAACAGGGAGAGGAGACTGCAGCCATGTTTTGAAAGATGCTGAATGAAGGGGCCCTGTGAGCTGAGAATCCGATGACATCCAGGTGTGGGAGCTTCCCTCGGTAACCAGAGCTGAAGCTAATTGAAGCTGATCGTGTCCAAGACCCTGATCCTGTTCAGTAATGCTGATGAGAGCAGAGGAACAGCGCAGCATACACTGCAACATCGCAAGCTTGTTGGAGAGACATTTGTTCTGTTCAGAGTCACCAGTGGATGCAAAGCAGACTTGGATCGGTAAGATCGTGCACACACCTCATTTCAGTGTTGGCACCTATAGACTGAGACCAGGCCTATAGTTAGTTAGTTAGGGTCTCTGTTTGTGTCAGGCCACAAGTGTTATTACTGATCATTGGAAGGACTCCACAACTTAAAGTGACATTTCACATTGGAGAGCTGATAAAATCCTACAAACTCAAGCCAGACTGGCGTTTTGCTCAGAAGGAATATTCAGGCATGTGCTACAGGACCAGTTATGGGAGGGGGAATACTGTAGATTTGTGTTAAGATTGTAAGCTGTTGTGCTGCACCACAGGCTAGCCCATACCCCATACACTGATTCCTGCTCTCTTAGGGTAATAACGGGTAAGGTGTGGCAGCTTAGTTGTGCCTGCCAGTAGGTAAATTACTACACTTCTACCTTCATCCATCAGGAGACGCCGTGCTGTGCAGCACAAGGGTCTCAGCCTTTGGGCTGGGTGTATGTAAATTTATTGTATGTTCCCAGCATTTGTGGTTGTGTTTACTTGCCACATCTAAGTAAAATTCTGTTGTGGCAAATGCTGGTGTTGGGGTTGCTTTCCTCATTTGTGACTTCACTGTATCCTGGGGAGCCCACCCGGTTACACGGCTTACACATGCTAAAGTGCACAGTGCGCAGAAGTCACCAACTGTCTGCAGAATCAATAGCTAAAGACCTCCAAACTTTGTGTGGTCTTCAGATTAGCACAACAATAGTGTGTAGAGAGCTTCATGGAATGGGTTTCCATGGCTGAACAGCTGCATCCAAGCCTTACATCAGCAAGTGCAATGGAAAGGGTTGGATACAGTGATGTAAAGCATGCCACCACTGGACTCTAGAGCAGTGGAGACATGTTATCTTGAGTGACAAATCACACTTCTCTGTCTGGCAATCTGATAGACGTGTTTGGGTTTGGCTGTTGCCAAGAGAACGGTACCTGCCTGATTGCATTGTGCCAAGTGTAAAGTTTGGTGGAGGGGGGATTGTAGTGTGGAGTTGTTTTTCAGAGGTTGGGCTTGGCCCCTTAGTTCCAATGAAGGGATTTCTTTAAGTGTCAACACACCAAGTCATTTTGGAAAATTTCATGCTCCCAACTTTGTGGAAATAGTTTGGGGATGGCCCCTTCCTGTTCCAACATGACTGCTCACCAGTGAACAAAGCAAGTTCCATAAAGACATGGATGAGCAAGTTTTGGGTGGAGGAACTTGACTGGCCTGCATAGAGTCCTGACCTCAACCAGATAGAACACTTTTAGGATGAATTAGAGCGAAGACTGCGAGCCAGGCCTTCTTATCTGACATCAATGCCTGACCTCACAAATGTGCTTCTGGAAGAATGGTCAAACATTCCCATAGACACACTCCTAAACCATGTGGACAGCCTTCACAGAAGAGTTGAAGCTGTTATAGGTGCAAAGGGTGGGTCAACTCAATATTGAACCCTACAGACTAAGAGTGGGATGCCATTAAAGTGCATGTGCGTGTAACGCAGTGTTTCTCAACTCCAGTCCTCATGGACCCCCAACAGGTCATGTTTTCAGGATTTCCCTCAGATGAAACAGCTGTGGTAATTACTAAGGCAGTGAAACTGATCAAATCACCTGCGCAAAATAATGGAAATCCTGAAAACATGACCTGTTGGGGGTCCATGAGGACTGGAGTTGAGAAACACTGGTGTAACGGCAGGCGGCCCAATACTTTTGCCAATATAGTGTAAATTACATAAATTAATAGATAAGATAGGGTAAGTGCATTTTAAAATGATATACTTCTATTAAACCAAGTGCTAAGTATGGTTGACAACCAGTCTGGAATAGACCATGTGCAATAATGTTACAGATAGGCTTCCCACGGGTGGTCTGTTCAGGGCAATGTAGTAATTTAGGCAGTCTTGGTTAGTATAAAAACATTTGGGTGGACAATCAACTTTCGGAAATAGTATCCAGTATACAAAGTTACACACAGAGCTCTAAAGTTTGCCACTACATGTGTAGCACTCTCCTAGGTAGGTGCTAGGATTTGTACAGTTAGGATAGTATAGCTGTGTTTCTCTGATTAACAGAGAGACTGTCAGGGAAATCTAATTGGACTCTTTGCTTAACAGAAAGCTGAGATGGATTAGTGAAGTCTGCTCATGATGCTCTGGTGCTGTTTGAGTTTGTTTTGAGTTCCTTCCGCCTTCTGAAAGCAACTAGAGCCTTCCAGATCTTGGGTTGGAGCTCGACAAATGAGCAGCATGAATATGGATGTATCCCTGGCCAATTGCAGGGGAGGGCCACCCCATTGCATGCTGGGAGTGGTATTTATCTTCTGTGAGCGCATGACCTCAGGGTCTCTCCTGGAGAGGATTGCACCAAGCCAGACAGGAGGCAGGCTTGCCTCGCCTGGCACCTGCTGCCATGCGGCCTCAGGTGGGTGACCTGAGGGTCTGAAGTAATAGAGAACCTGGTTCTTCAGTATGCTGACAGAGGGGCGTTGTCTGCCAAAGATCTGTCTGGTATCACAGGAGGGTGTTGCTTGGAAGATTGAAAGGTGGCTACCATTCTGTCTTTGGGCCTTGTGAGTACAGACACCGAGAGACCTTGGGAACTCTGTGTGCTCTGCTACCGCTCTGCTGCTTTACAGTCAGCGTGTGGCTGAGAAAAGGGAACACTGGCTAGTGTTCTGAAGGGCTGATCCAACTCTTGCTACTGCAGGGGACTTTGCTCAGTTTCTGTTACTTTTGGACTGCCACAGTCTGCTGCAACTGTCTTGTACCTGAGGAGTTTTTCCCTGCTACTACTACTGCTAAAGGGACTTTGCTCATTCCTAAACTACTTGTTGTTATTGCCACAGAAAAGTGTGCTATCTGCTTCTAGCCAGGACTTCAACATCACTCAACTAAGAGACCAGCTAGATGTCCTCAACTGTAATTAGTTCTAACTCTGTAGTATCCTACTAAATTCTCCAATCACTATCCCCAGTTCTATAATATTACTCCAAACATTACATCCCCTAGACTGGGCATTGAAGTGTGTGTGTGTGTGTTGGGCTATAGGAAATACCTTCTGCCTGGCTGCATGGCAAAGATAGGGGAGACCGGGGCTAAAATACAAATGGCCCCTGCGGGGATAGCGCTACACATGAACACTGGAAAAAACAAATATGTGAAAAAATACTTAGAGCAACCAATTAAAAGCTCACGTCCAATTTATAATGGGCTCTGAAAAGAAATTACGTAATTCTGTGGCCACAGAAGGCATTGTTTATTCTTTCCTCATGAAGTTCAATCTGAAAATCAGGTAAATTACAAAATCTTTAGAGAATAAGTAAACCCAACATTTCATATTCCTGATATGTGCCTGCTATACCATGTACTTGTATGAAAACGTTTCCCGTTCTCTTTGTATTGCTAAAGGTACAAACTCCACTTTCTTGGTCTCTGCAACTCTGCTCTTTGAAGGTTTTCCTCCTACCTATCTCAGCACACATTCAGTGTCACATACAGCTTTATCTCCTCCACTCCTCTTCCTCTTTCTGTGGGGGTACCCAAAGGCTCTGTCCTGGGTCCCCTCCTATTTCTTCTCTACACCTGTTTTTTTCTGGGTCAATTGATAACCTTCTATGGCTTCTAATACCACCTCTATGTCGATGACACCCAGATCTATCTCTCTACTCTCCAGCTCATCCCTCAATTTCTTCACGTATAACAGATTTACTGAGCGACATAACAGTATAACAGTAGTGTGTCACACCATTTCCTCAAACTCAATCTGTCTAAAACTGAGCTTCTAATATTTCCCTCTCCCTCATCCCCACAACATGACTCTACTATTGAGATCAATAGCACAATTATTGACCACCCCACACATGCCAGGGTGGTAGGTGTAAACCTGGACTCTAACCTATTTTTCAGGCCCCACATCCAATCACTGGCTACATTTTGCCACCTTAACCTCTCCCATGCTTTTGGGAGGAGTCATGCAAATATCAAAATGCCCTGTTGGATAAATGTAGCACCTGGAATAAAGGGTATTCCTAGGCAGCCTATACTTGCATTCAGACCCCCCTAGGAAATTCCCACATGTGATGCTGAGCCTCCCCGAGTAACAGAGCTAAAATCCAATGAATGAATGGTGGACCAGGAACAGTGAGGCTGAGGAGGAAACAACTAGATGATGCTGAGTGTCCTCCAGATTGGAAATTATATGTATCTATGGTCAAAATGTAAAATCATAAATTCATTTCCACACTGTATTTCAAATATTTCTAGGCTACTCCCTTTAATCTGAAGGATCTTGAAGTTTGTATAATTTGAAATGTGTAAACTTACTTTGTGAAGATCCCCACACATTTACCTCCTTGACTTCTGTGACACATAGTCACTTTGCCCCGTGAGGAGGGACTGCTGTGTCACACATTTCACAGAACCCACCTTCTGAACTACAGAAGTGATGAGAGCAGGGGCAGACTGACAACTCATGGGGCCCCTGGGCAATAGGGGATCATGGGGCCCCTGTGTCCTTGCCCAAACTTAAAAAAGCCTATGAAAAAGGTACCAGGGGCATCTCATGGGGCCCCCCCTACTGACCCCGGGCCCTCGGGCAGTGCCCGAGTTTCCAAATGTTCAGTCCGCCTCTGGATGAGAGGAGAAGTTTCAGGAGGTAGAGTCATAAAGGAATCACTGCTTTCAGGCAGCAAGGTACCATGGGATATGTAGTCCTTAGAAATTGAAAGTAAACAGCAGTGGAGACACTGCAAAGCATGCAGATAATCCAGAAAGTTGTGGAAAGAGATGACCAGCAGACAGGCAGAACTCATAACATAAAAGGAGATTTTTCATGTATTTGACAATCCAATATACAGTAAACTTACTGTATATTGGATTGTCAAATATATATATTGTTTGTATTGCTATTACAATGCTGATATTATAGAAAGTGTATGATTGGACTATAGGAGCAGTAAATAAGCTTTAAAGCAAGCCTTCACTGACCCCTATAGCTGCATGCACTGTCACGTAGTTCATCCCCAAGCCTCACAGCAGAAGCACTGATTTAGTTCACCTTGACTCTCTTAGGAGCTTAGCTCACTCTGCTAACCCCTCCTTCCCTAAAATCTCCTGTTTAGTGTTACATTACAGAATAGAAGGCTGAGTCAATGTTGAGAGGGGGCAGCAGGGGAGCTGAGCAGCTGTGGGAAGGAATTCAGTGTTTATCCGTTGCTATTTGAACATTTTAAGTTTTCATTAGGACTGAAAGTAAGGGAAAATCCAAAATTTAGCCTTGTCACCAGGACTGTGAAATAGAGGGGAGCCATCCAATGGTCCAACACTTGTTGTGGTGACAACAATGCAGATTTCCTTCACTTTAGAAAGATTACCTCCCAACTTCTGTTGTGTTCCCATGGAGCATAGATGGTAAAAAAAGTCTGACAGTTTGGGCTTTAAATATACTGTAATATACTTTAGGACTCCTTCATACTTATTTGGAAACCTGAATCTTTTTGCCCTAGAAAACTACAGATCTCCGCAAGGGCACAACTGTTTTCTATGTCATAACCTTATTTGTTTCACACTCTGCCTGTCTCCAACCTCCTATGCCTCCAACTAGCAACACTTGCCCCTTTCTGTACACGAAGAACCAGACCATGCCTGCTATAACCAGACAAACAGATGACACCAGAAGT